CGGGCCAGCGTCAGCGCCATGTTGGCGTCGGTGGCCGAGGAGAACCACTTGTAGCTAAATATAAAAAATGTGAAAATTAGGAACCTTTTAAAGGTAAAAAGATCTTCACCAAACAAAAAATTCCACCTACCCGTACAACCTGTGCCGCTGCTGATCCACCGGGACGGCCACCGTCTCCGTGCCGCCGGCCACATCCGATCCGCCGCCCTTCTCCGTCATCCACTGCCCTGAAGTCCAAAAGGTGGCCGGGTCGCGGGAGGTCAGCCGTTGGTAGGCGGTTGAGAAGAGCGGGTTCTCCAGCAGGTGAAGCTCCTCCAGCGTCTTCGCCGCCCCGTCGGTCATCGCCAGCGGACAGGAGTAGAGGCCCGAGGACGGGCCGTAGAGGTACAGCTTCGCGTACTGGTAGATGCGGGCCCACTGGCCGTAGCGCTTTCGGTTGTAGCCCAGCGCAATGAGGCCCTCCTCCGCGGAGACGTCCTTCTGGCGGTTCCAGGCGTCGGTCACTACCAGCTCGCTGCCCATCGGCCGGCCCCAGGCCTGGCTGGTTTGGCGAAGGTACGGCTTGTTGAACTCGCATTCCAGCGCCAGTTTGTGAATGTCAGTGGCGACGCGGTGGCCAAAATGACGCAGGTCGGCGTCGATTTCGGAGAAGATCTGCGGGGAAAAAAGTGAGATGACAAGAGTTCTAAAAGGCAAAATGATTGGCTGATTGTACCTCAGGCGGAACACTTCGCTTGATGAAGCTCTGGAGAAAGGCATTTCCCGTGTACTGGTTCTCCAGCACCGGCGGATGAAGCTCATTGTTGCCGTAGCGGGCCTTGCCAAAAGGTACCCATCCGGGCTTGACGGTCAGTTCAGGATTATCCTTAGTAGAGTAGTACCGTCGACGGGGACTGGTTGAAACGGTAGTAAAAGATGTGGTAACATATTTTGGCGATGCTACGCCGAAGAGGCTCACCGGCCGAAAAGAGGCCTGCATGCTTGATCAGCAGTCTGTTCAGCTTCTGATCAATGACAGTGGTGTTGATGACAGTTTTTTGAAGGGATCGTCCTTTTCCAAGGTACACGATGTACCCACGACGGCGGGCCAAAGAGAAAAGTTTTGCTCAGTTTCTCTTTCTCTCGATGACAGGTCTTCCAATGCTGTTGCCAACCACCGCTGAAGGCCTCAAGTCAAAGTCCACCAACTGCTGGTGATAATCGTCGCTGGTGGCGATGATAATCCAAGTGATATCGTCGAGGATTGCCTGCCGATCAAGGTGATACCGAAGAAATCGAAATGCCTGAAAAGTGTAAACAACAGAAGTTTTGCCGGAGTAGAACTGAACAGCGGCAGAAGTTTCTGAGAAGGCTTTTTTCGCCGCAGCAGCAGCTGTCAGTGTTTTGTTTTGTTTTGGTGGTCAGGTGAATCCTTAACTTGAGGATCTTTTGAGGAAGAAACTTTTGAAGCTCAAAAGTATTGAAAAAATTCATCTCATCATGGTGTACCTTCAACTTCCTTCCCAACTTACCGAGGAGGAGCAGACGCTGCAGCGAAAGTACCAGAAGCTGAAGCGGANCTTTTGAAGCTCAAAAGTATTGAAAAAATTCATCTCATCATGGTGTACCTTCAACTTCCTTCCCAACTTACCGAGGAGGAGCAGACGCTGCAGCGAAAGTACCAGAAGCTGAAGCGGAAGGTAAGTATCAAAACGGAGCAGATTTTTATTGTGATGAAGAAGATTAACTCACATTCTTACCACTCTACCAGAGAAAGCTTCTCCAGCAGCACAAGACGCCCAAGCCGGAGCCGGTGGTGGCGGCGCCCATCATCAAGGCGAAGACGGAAAGCGGCGCCACCGACGCGAAGGAGGTGGCGAAGAAGCTGCTCAAGTCGGGGAAGATTCACGCCATCAAGGCGCCGGAGAATCGGCAGAAGGAGCGCCAGGACAGCGGCTTCAAGCGCTCCAAGGCGCACGAGCGGAAGCGCTGCACGGGAACTGATAAGCCGGGCGGCTATCTGCCCTTTCACAATCAGCACTCGATGGAGGATGATCCCAGTGGTATAAACCGCTTCGAAATGATGAAACTATTATCATCAAAGCTAATGTTCTATTTTTCCATTTCGAATATTCAGGCTCTGCCGACCTGGACGACAGCCTAAATAACAGCGGAAGTGGCAACGATCCCGCCAATAGCACCAGCAGCAACAAACAGCGAAAGCCCTTCTACGAAAGCTTTGTCCACTCGCGTGATCCTCATTCGCTGGCCCGCGAGGAGACCTACCGCGAGAAGAAGCGCGACGGCAAGGCCAACTACGTCAATCGAGATAATCCGCAGCAAGGAAATACCATCTACGTCCGTGGCGAGAACATGACCGAGGCTTTCCTCCGCATGGGCTTCTCCAGCTTCGGCACGGTGCTGCACATCGCCGCCGAGCCCTCGAAAAAGTAAGAACTGATGATCTTTCAATTGATTACTTAAACTAACAATTTCTATTTCTCTCCNAAGTGATGATCAGTTGATAACTTGAATTAACGATTCCTTCTTTCTCTTTCTCTTTCCTCTCAGCTGCGGCTTCGTCACCTACGACTCCATCGACACCGCCAACATGGCCATCAATGAGATGAACGACACGGCGCTGCACGGCATCCGCCTCAAGGTCAGCCTCGCCCGCCGCCAGTCGGTGTACAATCCGGAGAAGACGAAGGCCGGCGAACAGGCCACCACCAACAGCAGCAGCGGCGGCGGAAATGCAAACAACAACGGTGGAAATGGTGGAAACGCCTCCTCTTCAGGTGGCAACGCAGGCAAGGGCGGCAACGCCTCTTCAACTTCAGGGGCCAGTGCTGCTGGCTCAAATCAGTCGCTCTCCACGCCCGAGGCCTGGTCGGCGATGGCCTCCAGCCAGAGCGACAGCGCCGAGAAGCCGAAGAACCGAACGGTGATCAGCTACGACGAGGACGACATTTGCGATACCATTTAGAAACGGCAGTTACTATTTGACTGTGTGTGTTTTCTGAAACGTGTCATTACTCTGTACATTTGAAACGGGGAGAGAAAAGAAAGAAAGATCATCATCACCATCAGTCAATCAAATTTCACTTGAGACACGCTCTTTTTTATGACCTCATCTCTGTCATAAAAAAAATAGTGATAAGACTGTCAGGCAACAAGGACGGTGTTGTGCTACTTCTGAATTTGCTTACTTTTTGAGCTGTTCTTTGCTTACGTGTTCACTAAATACCACCAATTCTTGATCATCATGGAAAGGCCTCTCATCTTCCTCCTCCTCCTCTTCTTTTTGGGACTTTTGATTTGTGGCTCTGAGGCGGCAGCGGCCACCTGTCCCGAAGAATCGGCCCTCATCGCCGGCTGCAGCTGCTTTCAAAACCGCCGCCTCGATTCGCTGCCCGAGCTGCGCTGCACCTCCGGTAACCGAGAAACCGATCTAGCCGAGCTGATTCGGCGACTGAATGAAAACTCCCAGGGAAGCGTTCAGCACTTTGAATCGCTGCACTGGACCGGGGGAAAGAAGGTGGAGATTGGAGAGGGCTTCTTCGGCAATGTCACCTTCAGAGAGCTGCTGCTGGGCACTCCCGAGCAATTCAGCTTCATCTACCGCGTTCATCCAAAATCGTTTTCTTCTGGTCCAATCGCCGAACAGCTGCGCCGTTTTGCAATTCGAAGCCTCGAACTCCGCCACGACGCCGACCTTTATCAGGCGTTTACCTCCTTGAAAAAACTGGAGTACCTCGTCGTGGAAGGTCGCTACCTAACAAAAGTTCCTGCTCACGCTTTTACGCCCCTCGCCGACTGCTACTCAGTGGAAGGCTGTGGCCTGAAGGAGCTCAAGAGGATCAACTTTTCCGAGGGCTGGTACGAGACGATCATCCACGTCACTCGACTGGAGCAGTTCGCCTTTGCCGGCCTGCCCTCTTTGGAGGAAATTAATCTGAAGCAGCAGGACGTCCTCTACATCGGGGACTACGCTTTCGCCTTAAACTCTCCAGCCACTTCGGAAAAGTCCCTCCTCAAAATTGACCTCTCCCACCAGTGGAATGCAAAGTTCAAGCCACAGTCTTTCCAACCGCTCTCCCTGGCGGACATTGGCCGCCCCGTAGAGCTGGACCTCTACGGGAATCCCTTTCTCGAATTTCTCCCCGAAACGGTCTTTAGACCCTTTTTGGAGGCGAACGACGGCGGACCTAATGTCATCCGCCTCGGGCAGACGATGACCTGCA